AATATTTTTAAAATATGTTTTCAAAATTCCACCAACAGGACGATGATGTTCTTAAGCTCGCTTTGCCCTTTCGTTTTACACTTGTGGGAAAATTTGGTGTTATACGCCCAAACCTTGATGCGATTAGATCTTTTTTTGGTAATCTCAAGCTTTTGTGTTTTTACTCGGTTGGTTTACTAGACTCAAAGCATGTAGCGATTCAACTTTCGAATGATTTGGATTACTGTCAGGTTTTTATGAGAAGATCTTACTTTATTTTGAATTGCCAAATGCGTATTTTGAAGTGGACAACTTTTTGATGTTAAGGAGGAATCGCCGATTGTTCCAATCTAGAATTCTTTTCCGAATCTCAGATTGCTTTTTTTCAATCCTAAGGTTTTGCATGCTTTAGGTTCTATTTTTGGTCGTCCCCTACAAACGGACCAAGCCACTACTTCTAGAACCAGGCCTTCGGTGGCCAGGGTTTTAGTTGAAGTGGATATTACTAAGAAGCATGCAAAGGAAGTTCGGGTTGGATCTAAGGCTTTAGGGTATTTACAAAAAGTTGAATTTGAAAAAATTCCTGATTTCTGTACTCACTATAAAGCTCACAGTCATTCTATTTCTAAGTGTTTCAAACTTCATCCGGAGCTGAAGAAAAATTCTAACAACTCCACTAGATTGGTGGGTAATAAGGTGCCTGATAACGAGAAGCCAGAAAATGCTAATACGGTGACAAATGATGAAGTTCAATCCAATGTTGAGAGGGCGGGAAATGAAACTTTAAAAGCTCCGGAAAATTTGGTAACACCTGTTACATCCCCTGTCAAAATTTTATCTGTTAAAGACAATTTTGTTACTAAAAATGGTGAAATTCATAATATTTTTATCTTTGTTGATTCTATGCTTAATAATTCTATTCCCCCTCTTAATTTGGTTAATTCCGAGAACAATGACAATGTCCACATTGAAGAGCATGAAGAGGGGGAGTATGTTCCTGGATAGACTTTGTTGAATTCGATGGAAAGGTTTAATTACAAGGAGAATGGTGAAGATCAGTCGTCTGCTAATTTTTTCGATAAGGGTAAAAATATTGAAGAGGAATGGCTTTCTAAATCGCAAAAGAAAAAAAAAAAAAAAATGCCAAAGTTATATTACCGAATACCCCTCGTTCTACTAGGGCTCAAACTAATAACAAAAATTCTAATGATTAAAGCCCTTATTTGGAATGTTAGAGGTATTGGTGGTTCTAATTCAAAAAATTGTGTTAGGAATTTATGTCATTTTTATAATATTTTATTTTTAGTTCTGCTTGAACCTTTTATCTCTCCTGATAAACTTGCTTCTACTGCTTCTAACTTAGGTTTTTCTTGTAGTTTTTCTAATTGCTCCATTAAGATCTGGATCATGTGGAAAAATTATTTTAATGTTTCTGTTATTTCTGATTTTCATCAAGTGGTTAATGTGCAAATCTCCTATAACCAGTATATCTTTAATGCTTCTTTGGTTTATGCTTCCTCCACTAGAACTGGTCGTGTCCCTCTTTGGGATTGCTTAACTGATTTTGCACATAATATTGATGGTCCTTGGTGTGTTGGGGTGATTTTAATATTATTTTCAATGCTAGTGAAAGAAGAGGGGGTAACCCTCCTAATATTAATTCTATGGAAGATTTTAATCACTTGATTTCTTCTTGCAATTTAACGTATATTGGTTTTTCTGGTAGTTCTTTTACTTGGACTAGAAATAATATGTGACAAATACTTGATAGGTTACTTTTCAACAATGATTGGATTGGTAAATTTAATATGACTAGTGTTCAACATTTGAACAGAACTCTTTCTGACCATTCTCTCTTGCTTCTTTATATTTCTAATAGTAATTTGATGGGCACTGTGACTTTTAGGCTCCAAAATATGTGGATTAAGCATGCTGGGTTTTTGAATGCTGTGTCTGACAATTGGAATGCTTTGGTTTTTCCTGACAATAATATTCAAGGCATGGCTAGATTGTGGGCTAAATTAAGTAGATTGAAACAGCTTTCGAGATGGTGGAATAAACATGTTTTTAAAAATATCTTTGAAAATATTAAGGAGGCTGAAAATAAAGTCTTACTTGCGGATAGACTTTTTCTTGAAGATCCTTATTCTGAAAATCTGTCTAATCTTGATAACAGTAAACTTCATCTTTTTAATTTGCAAAACCAGGAAGAAATCTTTTGGAAGCGGAAGGCTTCTAACTCTATTTTGTTGGAAGGTGATAGTAATACTTCCTTTTTCCATGCTTTAGTTAACAAGAACAGAATTAAAAGCTATATTCACAAGCTTGTTGATGAGCATGGTGTTGTTTATGATAATGGTGATACCATTGTTAATTCGGGAGTGGACTATTTCAATAATATTTTTAATGCTATCAAGCCTGTTTCTTACATTGTTAACACTAATGTGATTCCTAATATTTTGGATGAGAATGATAATAGTTTTCTTACCCAATTACCCTCTGAAGACGAGATTTGGAACACTATCAAAGGCATGAATGAAGAGTCGGTGGCTCGGCCGGATGAGTATACTACAAATTTTTTTGTTAAAACTTGGGACATTATTAAATCTGATGTGGTGGATCCTGCTCAGGAGTTTTTCAATGGTAAGCCTTACCCTAAAGCTTTTTCTTGCACTAATATTTTTCTTATCCCCAAGAAAGATAACACTACCTTTTGGAATGATTTTAGACCTATTAGTATTTGTACTTTTTTTAACAAACTTGTGGCGAAAATTATTGCTTCTAGACTCTCTACTATTTTGCCTAGAATTATTTCCTCTAATCAAACGGGTTTTGTTAAAGGTAGGAGTATTTTTTGATAACATTTTATTAGCTCAAGAGCTGGTTCATGATATTAACACAAAGTATTGGTGGCAATATCCTTTTTAAACTTGATATTAATAAGGCATATGATAATTTAAATTGAGAATTTCTGTATAAAGTCTTGTCTTTGTTTGGCTTTAATCAGGTTTTTCTTAATCTTGTTAAGCATAGCATTTATAATTATTTTTTTCTGTTATCATTAATGGTAGGAACCATGGCTTTTTTAAGTCTGAGAATGGTCTTCGTCAGGGGGATCCTTTATCCCCTTCCCTTTTTATCATTGCTATGGAGTACCTATCTAGGGGTTTGGAAAATCTCTACAGGAGGTTTCCTAACCTTAATTTTCATACTGTTGGAGGCATTCTGATCTCTCACCTTAGTTTTGCTGATGATTTCATTATCTTCTCTAATGCTTCTATAAAAAATGTTAAAATTTTGGTTAACTTTTTGGAGGTGTTCCAGGATGCTAGTGGCCTTTCTATCAACAGAGATAAGAGTAATTTTATTACTGCAAAGTCTGTGAATACTACTCGGTCTAACAAGATTAAACTTTTATGTGGTTTTAACTCCTCTTCTTTGCCAATCAAATATCTTGGTACGCCTCTTACTAAAGGTAGGAAGAAGATTATGCTTTTTGATAATATTTTTACGTTTTTTCAAAGGAAGTTCATGCATTGATCGTCTAAATTTCTATCTTTTGGAGGTAGGTTAACTTTGATTAAGAGTGTGTTGAATTCCATTCCTATTTTTATTTTTCATACGTTGAATCCTCCGGTTAATGTTTGCAATAGAATGGAAATTATGATTAATAAGTTTTTTTGGGGTGGTTCTTATAACAATTTTGGTATTAAATGGGCCAAATGGAATAAACTTTGTGGTGTTTATAAGGAAGGTGCTCTGGGGTTTAAAGAGGAGTGATAAGTTTTTCTCTCCAAGATCATTGCAAGGAACCCAATAATAATAGTTGTGAGCAATTGTAATCTGAAGTTTCAATGGTGATGGGAAAAAGATAAAGTTGATGCATGATGATATTAAGATTTTGGTTTCATTTGAGATGACATCCTTAATGTTTCTTAAAGAAATAAGAAAACCATCCAAACAATGCCTTTATGAATCTAACAAGTATGTGCATGTGATAATCATTATCACTATAGTTGTGTTGTGTTTACTTCAAATCTCATATTTCGTATTGGAGAGGTCAAATATAGGGGTGTGCTTTGTTTGTATAGAATTTAAAAAAAAAAAAAAAAATCGGTCTAATTTGATTGGTTCTATTCAATTGTTAAAGTATTAGTTTGTTTGATTTTTTGGTTATCGAATCATTTTTTATTTTTTGAAAACCCATCAAATAAAAAATAGAAATATAACTTTTTAAGTATAGAATCAACAAAATTTATAAACTATACATAAACAAGTGACAAAAATATCAACATAGATATTATTTATTCAACATGCCAAGATTATAAACTTTAGTAAATATTACATAGTGTTTATCGTAATATAAGCTACAAGTAATAGAATTGGATTTGTTATAAATAAGATGCAAATATATAATTTATTATAATTTATTTCAAAGTAATAATAATACTTACTTCTACTAAAAACAATAATATTTTGTAACTATACTACTCATAGCCATAAATCACTTCAAAAACTATCAGCAGAGTTTAAAAATCACAGAAAAATCAATGTTATTGTTGAGTTCTGCAAACTCTATGTTTACTTCCACCATGAAGGATATTTTCCACAATTTAAGTCTACTACTATGTATTATATAGCATTTACCAATAGCTGGAAAAAGCATCCTTTGTAATATGCAACTCGCATTGGTGAAATCATTCTGACTAAAAATATCATATATCATATAAAATACTCTTAACTTAACATTATGAGCATTGATTTTCATTCAATATTACAATGATAAATTTTCTATCTAACGTCATAAATATTCCATTATTCAATAGGAAAGTAGTCCCAAACTAAACCTAACACATCTTATCAATACCAATGACATAAAAAATTACTATTAAGATGTTAAATTTCTCGTGAATCTTTGGGTAATAAATTCATTTATCTTCCTGTTTTTATTGATTAAACTAACCTTTTATATTCCATTTTAAATTAAATTAAAATAAAATGAGTCTTATTTTAAAGCATCAAAAGCATTTTTTCCACCATAGAGATCTGCTAACCTCCATTATTAATGTAAAGGTCATAATCAATAATTGCTTTATATATATATTATATTTTTTTTTTTTATTTTTTTTTTTGTTATTAATTGCTATGTTTTTTTTTTTTTTTTTGGACGTACCAAAGAGGCAAATAAAAAAATTGGCAAAAGCACTCCAAGATATCAATTTGTCCGCTGGGTAGGTTTTAAATGGTACGTAAATAAGTTTACTTGTTTGCTGGAAGAGAATCTTAGTCAAAAAATAATATATCAGTAAAGATGTTTTGAGCTATTTGATTGAAGAATGCTTCATTTGTGACAATTTTTCGTTACTCTTTAACATGTAGTTTTTTATTTATAAGAATTTTATTGAATTTAAAATTTATAGACTAGAAAAAATATTTTGAAAAAAAAAAAGTAATTTATCCGCAAACGAGTCTTACATTTATTTTTTTATGTAATTTTGAAAGTAAATTTTATTTAGTATATATTAGCCAGTTGGTGATGGCGATTGCGAGGCAGCAAGGGGGGCGCGACAGACTTGGGTAGGTGGTGGTCCTAAGCGGCTGTTAGTGGTGGGCCTCAAAACGGGGGACGATTTTAGAATGTAGCAACAAATGATAGTTGCTACGGGTGGGGAAGATGATTCAATGTTTTTTAAAAAATGTCTAAATTTATACATTTTTGAAGGTTCAATAAAAATCGAACAAAAAGCTAATTTCAAATTCAGATAGTGAATATACTTTGTATTGATTTACTTTAGCAATCAAAAATCTAACAGTAAATAAAGAGCAAACACCATAAATATTTGGCTTATGTAAAGTCTATAAGAACTTATATACATATAAGAAATATTCCATTAAAATTCTCAAATAATATAATAATAATAGTTATATTATTATTATTATTTATTATTATTTATTATTATTATTATTATTTTTAGGGAAAGCCTGTCAAAAAATAAATCGTGTTAATTTCTTGTAATAAAAAAAAAATAAACAAAATCAAGATACAGGAGAAACTGTACTATTACCATCTCCTTTGGCCTAAGTTACAAACTCCTTTTAAGTTGTCTCCAAGATATATTAAAAAAATAGATAAATTTGCACTTATCAATCAAATAAATATAAAACAACTGCCTGCGTTAAATAAGTACAAAATACATATCATATTAAATACATTATAATTAATTTTTATCTTTAAAAAAAATTTTAAATTATTAAAATAATTTTTATTTATTAAAGCCTTTATTCAAATATTTCTTTCAAAAAAAAAAGTTCTTTAAAATAATTTTAGAAAGTACTAATTTGATCTATATTTAAATAATAAAAAAACCTAATTAATAATTTTATATAGTCGATTATTATTTAAAAAAATAGGGGTCCAATGCAATCATGTTCTCATATTTTAAACATTGAACATCTATATCTTATGCAGCTCATTTTGATATTTTGATTAGTAGCTTTAGATAATATCTAAGAGTTTTTGGGTTCGAAATTTATATATGTGATGTGTGCATAAAATTGACTAAAAAGTTATATATATATATTTATAATTATCTCATTTATCTTCCCTTTAAAAAGGTGCTTAAACCAAACCCACAAAACATACCAACTAATTTATGGAGTCAAGCTGGTGGGCGTTGTGGGTGCATGTATTACTAGCCTAGTCACATGCAAGCACCTGCTCCAAAAACGTTTCTAGCCGGTGGTCTTCGAGGTCAGCCGGTCCATCAGTGGAGTACTCCGGTTTGTGGAGTATTTGGAAGCTTATCCCACTCCAAGCACTAGTGTGGGCTAGCCCACTCGGTTCAACCTGTTTATAGAGCCCGGTCAAACTTTACAAGTTCACCGAGTTTCCGTGGCCGGAATCGATGACTGGGGCGCCGAACAACAAGCAATTGATGGAGTATTTGGACGCTTATGCTCGCCGGTTTGATGTTATAAGGCATGTGAGGTTTGGGGAGAAGGTGGTGGCTTTGGAGTACGTTGGACCAAACCAGGAGGAGATGGAGGCCTAGGATTTGTAGGGTGGAACCGGTGATGTGTTCGTCGAAGCTGGGCGTGGAGCCTGGCATGTCACCGTGGAGAAGAAAGATGGGGCTAAGGAGGTAATTTTAACTCAAAAAGTAGGATTTAGTAAAGGACAAAAATAATAATAATATTAAAAGTGGCTAAAATAAATCTCAAAATACTTTGATTAACTTTTGCAAGTATCTTAAAGTAGATTAAAAAGTTTTTGAGATGATGAAATTTTTTATAGAATAATATGAAACTTTAATAAATTTGATAATAATAATTTTAAACTTTTAATTTATAAATTTTAAAAAAATAATAATTTATTTTGAGATGAATAATAAAAATAAATTTTAATTTTTTATCTATTCTAACTAAACTTCTCAAGTTAATCAAGATCTAGTAAATCTTTATGTGTTAAAATTTGAAAATTATTTGATATGAAAACCATTAGATTTTGGCAAATTTTTATAATTGTTTAGTTATTTATATTTTAGTTTTAAGATGAATAAAAATATTAGTTTGTGTTTGAGGATTGATAGAATTGTGTTTGTCACTCTTTGAATGACTTTAGGCCTATTAGTTTGTGTTCTGTTTTTTACAAATTAATTTCTAAAATTTTGGTGAACCATCTTTCTTTACTTATTCCTAATCTTATCTCTCCTAATCAAATGGGGTTTTTTAAAGGTCGCACTATTGTTGATAACATCCTGCTTGCTCAAGAATTTTGCCAGGACTTCGATATTAAAACTGTCGGGGGGAACATGATTTTGAAGCTTGATATTGCAAATGCATATGACAACATTAACTGGAGCTTTATTTATAATATGTTGAGATTTTATGATTTTGATGAGAAGTTTATTTCTCTTATTAGCCTGTGCATTGAAAGCCCTTTCTTTTCTATTATCCTTAATGGTAAATGTCACGACTTTTTTAAATCTTCCCATGGTTTGAGGCAAGGGGATCCTATC